GAGGAACTAAGGTACACAAAATTAGAGTAGTTACTGAGGAATTAATGAGGAACGAATGAGGAACTAATGAGGAACGAATGAGTAGTTAGTGAGGAACTAATGAGGAACGAATGGGGAACTAATGAGGAACTGAGGAACTAATGAGGAACTAATGATCAAGCTTAGCTTCACTACTTAACTACTCATTCGTTCCTCATTAGTTCTTCAGTAACTACTCTAATTTTGTGTACCTTAGTTCCTCAGTAACTACTCATTAGTTCCTCATAATCCTCTAATTTTGTGTACCTTATTATAAAATGTTATCCCCAAACTTATCCACATGCTTTCGTTGCCCAAACTTAACCACATGCTCTTGTTGTCTAAACCTAACCATGTGCTTTTGTTTGCCCAAACCTAACCATGGGCTTGTGTTGCCCAAACTTAACCACATGCTTTTGTTGCCCAAACCTAACCATGTGCTTGTGTTGCCCAAACTTAACCACATGCTTTTGTTGCCTAAACCTTAGCATGTGCTGTTGTTGTCAGAACTAAGCCACATGCTTTTTTGCCTAAAGCTAACCCTAACCACATGCTTTTGTTGCCTAAACCTTACCATGTGCTTTTGTTGCCCAAACATATCCACATGCTTTTCTTGCCAAAACCTTACCATGTGTTTTTGTTGCCCAAACTTAACCACATGCTTCTGTTGCCTTAACCTAACCTTGTGCTTTTGTTGCCCAAATTTATCCACATGCTTTTGTTGCCAAAACTTAACCACATGGTTTTGTTGCCCAAACCTAACCACATGCTTTTGTTGCCCAAACTTAATTACATCCTTTTGTTGCCTAAACTTTACCATGTGCTTTTGTTGCCCAAACTGGTAAGATTTACAGTAAGGTACACAAAATTAGAGTAGTTACTGAGGAACTAATGAGGAACTAATGAGGAACGAATGAGTAGTTACTGAGGAACTAAGGTACACAAAATTAGAGTAGTTACTGAGGAATTAATGAGGAATGAATGAGGAACTAATGAGGAACGAATGAGTAGTTAGTGAGGAACTGATGAGGAACGAATGGGGAACTAATGAGGAACTGAGGAACTAATGAGGAACTAATGATCAAGCTTAGCTTCACTACTTAACTACTCATTCGTTCCTCATTAGTTCCTCATTAGTTCTTCAGTAACTACTCTAATTTTGTGTACCTTAGTTCCTCAGTAACTACTCATTAGTTCCTCATAATCCTCTAATTTTGTGTACCTTATTATAAAATGTTATCCCCAAACTTTTCCACATGCTTTCGTTGCCCAAACTTAACCACATGCTCTTGTTGTCTAAACCTAACCATGTGCTTTTTTTTGCCCAAACTTAACCACATGCTTTTGTTGCCCAAACTTACCACGTGGTTTTGTTGCCCAAACTTAACCACATGCTTTTGTTGCCTAAACCTAACCATGTGTTTTTGTTGCCCAAACTTAACCACATGCTTCTGTTGCCTTAACCAAAACATGTGATTTTGTTTCCCAGGCTTATCCACATGCTTTTGTTGCCCAAACCTAACCACATGCTTTTGTCTCCCAAACTTAACCACATGCTCTTGTTGTGTAAGCCTAACCATGTGCTTTTGTCTCCCAAACTTAACCACATGATTTTGTTGCCTAAACTTAACCATGCGCTTTTGTTGCCCAAACTTAACCACATGCGTTTGTTGCCCAAACTTAACCACATGCTTTTGTTGCCCAAACTTATCCACATGAGTTTGATGCCCAAACTTAACCACATGCTTTTGTTGCCCAAACTTACCACATGCTTTTGTTGCCCAAACTTAATTACGTGCTTCTGTTGCCTTAGCCTAACCATGTGCTTTTGTTGCCCTAACCTAACCACATGATTTTGTTGCCTATACCTACCCATGTGCTTTTGTTGCCCAAACCTAACCATGTGCTTTTGTTGCCCAAACTTAACCACATGCTTTTGTTGCCCAAACCTAACCATGTGCTTGTGTTGCCCAGACTTAACCACATCCTTTTGTTGTCTAAACCTTTGCATGTGCTGTTGTTGTCAGAACTAAGCCACATGCTTCTGTTGCCTAAACCTAACCCTAACCACATGCTTCTGTTGCCTTAACCTAACCTTGTGCTTTTGTTGCCCAAATTTATCCACATGCTTTTGTTGCCCAAACTGGTAAGATTTACAATAAGGTAGACAAAATCAGAGTAGTTACTGACAAACTAAGGTACGCAAAATTAGAGTAGTTACTGAGGAACTAATGAGGAACGAATGAGTAGTTACTGAGGAAGTAAGGTACACAAAATTAGAGTAGTTACTGAGGAACTAATGAGGAACGAATTGGGAACTAATGAGGAACTAATAATGAAGCTTAGCTTCACTACTTAACTACTCATTCGTTCCTCATTAGTTCCTCATTAGTTCTTCAGTAACTACTCTAACTTTGTGTACCTTAGTTCCTCAGTAACTACTCATTAGTTCCTCATAATCCTCTAATTTTGTGTACCTAACCTAACCATGTGCTTTTGTTTCCCAGGCTTATCCACATGCTTTTGTTGCACAAACTTAACCTCATGCTTTTGTCTCCCAAACTTAACCACATGCTCTTGTTGCGTAAGCCTAACCATGTGCTTTTGTTGCCCTAACCTAACCACATGATTTTGTTGCCTAAACTTAACCATGCGCCTTTGTTGCCCAAACTTAACCACATGCTTTTGTTGCCAAAACTTAAGTACATGCTTGTGTTGCCTATACCTAACCATGTGCTTTTGTTGCCAAAACTTAACTACATGCTTTGGTTGCCTAAACTTAACCATGTGCTTTTGTTGACATCCCAACATTTGTTGCAGTGTCCCAGAATATCAACAGCAGGATGATACCTTGTAGACATTAAAGTCCACTGACTGAGTAACTTTTGTTACAGAAACCTAAAAATAAGCTTTTTTTGCTCAAACTTTACCATATGCTTTTGTTACCTGAACCTGACCACATGATTTTGTTGCCTTAACCTATGAGCTTTAGTTGCCAAAACATAACAACAGCAGGATGATACTTTGTAGACATTCAAGTCCACTGACTGAGAAAAAGTGTTGCATTTTCATCATTTTTAGGTCAAAACTGCACACACTGACAACAAGAGTGCACTTAAGGGCAGAGGTCTGTGTTTGTGTTTGACTATGATTTGTTTATAGATGGCGCGACAGTAACCAACTCAAAAGCCAGCTGGAGAAGAGGGTGGATTAGGGAAGAAGGAGGGGGACTGTAGTTCATGTAGTTTAAAAGAGCATTTCCTTTGTTTACTATTGCTACAATAAATGCAGGACACAATAACTTCTACAATAAAAACACATTTAAGATTGGTCTTTTCAAAAAAGTAAGTGAACACTCTCTCCTTCCATACAACCTAGTGAAGACCTTCCCGTCAAAATGTTGCTGTTGTTTTATTGTTGGTCTTAATGCCAATTTAATAAAGACTTGTAATAAGCATTGTTTTCCTACTACTTACGTTAAATACATGATAGCAGCGTAACATATTCATTCAATTTACTTTATTTTGGAACTTGTGCAAGAATGAGAAGAGCGTTTTAGAACCATGTAATAACAATGGACCAGCTCAAAAGTTCTTAAAATGTAAACACAGCCTGTCAGGACATCCAAGTAAAAACATAAGTCCAAATAAATTTAACTAAACAATATGCATAAATAATACATAACCATAAATCATAGTTGCCAACAAAAATCAAGTCCAGGGGGCTCCATTTGTCAGTGACTGTGCCAGTGTTCACTCAGATCAAGGCTTAACAAGTGAATGGGATTTAAAAAAAAAAAGAAAACTTTACTTCTTCCAATGAATGTCTTTAATATGGACCCATTCAAAGGATATATGTTTAGTCACGGTCCAGGCTGAAATTCACCTGGCATTTTGGCTGAAGAGCTGCCTGATATTGGACGCAAGGCCACTATTGCTTCCAGCCACTCTGTATAACCCACTAATACTTGTGCAGCAGTCTTCATCCGTCATAGTATTTAAACTTTCCACCAACTGCTTACCTGGAACAATCAGACAGTGGAAGTGAGCATGGCATTCTCAAAGGCCCAAAATACCTAACACGGGTGCCACCTAGTGGCTCAACTTTATACATCCTACATAATAAAATGTGAGAATGCAATTACGATTAAATAATTCTTGGTTTCACCAGTGTAGTTTACTATGCGCTGAAACCCATGCCGTTTGCTTTATTTGCACTTTTAAGATGTAAAAATGATGATAAGGCAGCAGTTTTCTCACAATATGAGCCATTATTACATTATGAATTGTTATTACATTATGAACTGTTATTACATTATGAGAGACGCCAGTAAGGCTCATAATGTAATAGGTTATTACATTATTACATTATGTGCAAAGCCGTTATTACATTATGTGCTCATGATTTTATTACATTATGAGCTGATTATTACATTATGAACTTTTATTACATTTAAGTTATTACATTATGAGCCGTTATTACATTATGAGCCATTACAAGCGCACTCTCGTTGTCAGTGTGTGCAGTTTTGACCTAAAAATGATGATAATGCAACACTTTTTCTCACAATATGAGCCATTATTACATTATGAGCTGTTATTACATTATGAGCGGCGCCAGTAAGGCCCATAATGTAATAAGTTATTACATTATTACATTATGCACAAAGCTGTTATTACGTTATATGCTCATGATTTTATTACATTATGAGCCGATTATTACATTATGAACTTTTATTACATTTCTGTTATTACATTATGAAGCGTTATTACATTATGAGCCATTATTACATTATGAGTTGCTACAACATTCATAATGCGCAAGGCAAGAGATGCCGTCAAGTGTGATTGCTGTATGAGAGCAGTGTTTTGACCCATTTATGATGAATGGATGTGATACTGAGCTCCCTTTGTAATTCTACATTATTATCTTATTCTGTTTATTCATTCATTGGAAGAGCTGGGCAAGTGTTGTGTACTTACAGCAAACAGGTGACCAATACACACAGACAGGCCAATAGCCAAAGCAGATGAACCCTTGAGGTCACTGCGTTTGTTGTCACAAGTGGCAAACACAGTGAAGACCAACTGAAAGGTGATGAAGAGTTCTACAACCAATGCGTTTCCCACAGAAATGCTCATATTTACCTGTGATGGAAACACAACAGCAGCAAAGAAATACATCATCAGATTTCAATAACTCATACCTTGCATTAAAATGTGATCTGTATATAAATATAAGACATGGAGGACACATTGCTATTTCACTGTATTGCAGTCCATTTAATCTAAGCCGACCTTGCCTGAAGGCAGGCTGTGTGATTGGATGTCAGCAAGGTCAGTGGGTTCATAGGTCACCTAATTCCATTCTTAAAGTGATACATTTACTAGAAATTGTAAGGGTTAGGGTGGAGGCTGATGGTGTAATAGTAGCATTTCATTAGTTTAGTAACTATTTAAATTGTCAATGAGTCCATCTATTTATGTTATGTTATGTTATGTTATGTTATGTTATGTTATGTTATGTTAAATTGTGTTATCTCCCTGTATTTATTATGTTTCAGTTACTACATCTTAATTATTCATTTATTATTGAGGTGAAGTTATTAGACTTTTACCAGCATTTTTCTGGCCTAACACTAACCTGCTGACTTGTGAGTCTGATATCCTCCAGCTGCTCTGGTAAAGACATAACCTTCAGATAGTCTTTTTGTGCTAAACACTACTTTCAGGATTAGAAAATCAGAATTGATCCTGTGATCTCTGTTGATGTTAGATGAAAACTAGATTAACTGAGATTATTTTCTTGGAATTACCTTTGAGACAGCAAAGTATTGTAAGTCCTGTGGCAATAATTACTGTGAAACAAGCAGTGAACAATTAACTAATTAAAAAAAAAAAGGACAAACCGTGGTGATGCCCATGCTACCCCTAACAGAGGCTGGGGTGATGCCATACAAAATGGCAGCCCCCACTATGGCTCCGGTACACTGGGCCAGCAGGAAGAAGACAGCTTTAGCCAGACTGAGCTTTCTGGTCACCACCATGGCTGCTGTGACTGCAGGGTTGATATGAGCACCACTGATGTGGCTGAAGCACTGCACCATGGTGGCAATAGTCAGACCAAAGCAGAGTGAGATGAGTACCAGGTCAGGGGGATGGGGATCCTTCTCAGCAGCCCCCCAGTTGATGGTTGACCCAAGGCTGAGCAGGACAAATAGCAGCATGGCGAAGAACTCAGCACCCACACAGCGCCAGAACTCCTGAGTCCAGACGCCCTTGAAGGCAGTCATTATTTTGTCTTGAGGGCAGCAGGATGGAGACCAGAACTGAAAGTGTGGTGTGCAGCAAGTGAAGCAGCACCTCCTGGAAGGTATGAAAGGGAGGGCAAAGATCAATAAAGGGGGGAAAAAAAGGTATGAGGGAGGATTATAATCACTAAATTAAGAAAGAAATCACAGTTGTCTTCCACATCTAGTGTTGATAGAGTAACACTGTGTATGTATGTTTATATGTTATGTGTTAGATACAAAAGAGGCAGAACTATGCTGCAATGGCATTGTGCCACACCCTGAAGGTGTTTAAGCATGCAGAAGCAATGCTCTGGACCACTTTACAAAATATCCAGTCAGCTCTTACCAGGCGCAGAAAATATCAGTCATTAGTCTGTTTTAAAAAGAGCTTCAGCCATAAAGCAGTGATGCTGTCCTTCAGTAGGTGATTTAAGGGCCATCCCCCCCTGTTAGCAAAATGACCAAAATGTGTCCCCCTTGTGTCCAGACCTAGACGCTGTCCTGCCCAGACCCAGGTCTATAACTGACATTCCACCGGACGCAATAGCATTAGCGTCAGCTACTGGACTTCTACATGACTACATGACTACTTTTAATCCCTGCATACGCCCCCCTCAGGAAAACTGCTCCTACCATTACAAAGACTGTCAAGACTTGGCTGAATGGCGTCTCTCAGCAGCTGCAGGACTGCTTTGACAGGACTGACTGGGACGTTTTTTGAACACCCAGACTTGGAGATGTTCACAGACAGTGTTTTATGTTACATTAAGAACTGCATAGACACTGTCACAGTGGACAAGCGCATCCGGATCTACCCCAACCAGAAGCCCTGGATGACCCAGGAGGTCCAGGACAGCAACAACAGCAGGCAGGTGTGGCGGTGTGGCAAGGTGTCCAGCATCTCACCAACTACAGGACCAACCTCAGAGCTGCTGAAGGGGATGCTGCGCTGGCAGACGAGCTGAACCTCTTCTTTGCCTGCTTTGAGGTGGAGCAACCAGAGGCAGCCACACTACCCTTCACGGTCCACAGCAGCCCCTCAGCGTCAGCACCGCCTCCCCACAGGGCTGTGTGCTGAGCCCCTTGCTCTACACCCTCTACACCAAAGACTGCTCCCCCGCCCACCTCAACAACACCATTATCAAGTTCATGGACGACACCATTGTGGAGGGCTGATCTCTGGGGGGGATGAGTCCGCCTACAGGCAGTTGACAGTGTGGTGCAAGGAGAATAACCTGCTCCTTAACACCTCAAAAACCAAGGAGCTGGTAATAGACTTCAGGAAAAAGAAAACGGACATTCCACCACTACTCAGTAGCGGGAACTGTGTGGAGAGGGTGCTGACTTTCGCTTCCTGGGAGTCCACATTGAGGAGGACTTCACCTGGAGCAAGAACACCTCTGAGCTGCTGAAAAAGGCCCAGCAGAGACTATACTTCCTGAGGGTGCTCAGGGGGAACAACATCACCCAGAGACTGCTGGTGTCCTTTTATCAATGCTCTATTGAGAGCATCCTGACATACTGTATGTGTGTGTGGTACACCAGCTGCACAGTGACTCAGAGGAAAAAGCTCCAGAGGATCATGAACACAACTCAGAAGATCGTTGGCTGCCCTCTCCTCTCTCTGGAAGAACTGCACAGTTCCTGTTGTTTCAGAAAAGCCTGGAACATTATAAAGGACACTTCACACCCTGGTTATTCCCTGTTTAACTGTTGCCATCAGGCCAGACAGTATAGACAAACAGATTCAGAAACAGCTTCTACCCATTGCAGTAACTTCACTTAACAAAGCAAGAAGGCAATAAAAGGTGTTTAGTGCAAAAAGGGACTGTGCAAATGACAGAGGAGAGAATGTATGCTGTGAGTTGTTTTTATTTATTTATTTTTTAGCTGTCTTCTTTTTAATGCTGCTTATGGTTTTATATGATATAGTTTTATGAGTTGATGCCCTGACAAGGTGGCACAATTTCGTTGTACATGTGACAATGACAAATAAATGATATTCCACTTTATATTCTATTCTACTTTTGACAGAGCATTTATATTTTAAAGGAGTTATATGTAAGAAATCTAAAGCAAATAGTTGTAAAATCATCCTAATATGTCACAGAGACTAAGGACTAATGTTCATATAACATACTGATCTCACGGACAACAATAGTACAGCCAGAATATTCGCATTTAGAAAACATTTTTACAGTCCGCAAATCATGTTTATGTTTTGAATTTAAGTTTTGGCCTGTTGCGCCACCCACCACCGTCTACCAGTCACGCAGTCAGTAGAGTCTCAACATCAGTTACAGTTACGACTGAGCTACAGCAGCACAGCAAGCAGCTGTATCCTGCTGCCAGGATACAGCTCCTAAGCTGTATCCTGGCAGCAGCGTTAGCAGCAGAGAAGCCGGACTTGCTTGAACGGTTCGCTGGAAAACCGAAGATCAAGGACGCGGCGACGCGGCCCTGATACGGCAGCCGCCCGTGGGCAAACAAATCAGTCTCCAGCGTGCCGCTGTCCAGCAACCTCGAATCTGTAGGGGAGGGGGGGGGCGGACATGAGTCGTGGCAGTATTTTGAATTTGAGTGCAGTAACCGTTTTGGCCACATTTTTACATACAGCGCCTTTAAATAAGGGGCAACCTCAGAGAATTGAAGCCAGTGCAGAAGTATATGTATGCACCACAAAAGCACAAGATTAACTTAAATGACAGGAGACTTAATGTAACAGCAGCATTACCCATTCTTAAGGGGTCCTGATTTCACATCTAGATTTAAAACCTTCATTGCCGTTATCATTTGCTACACTCTCATTTCCAGATCATTCATTAGAACTAATACATACAAAATGCATAGAGAGTGGGAGAGACAGAGGGTGAGAGGGTGCCCATAACTCATATTTTTCCCTGAGGTCGAGGAACCTTAAAGGGCCAGTGTGTAATATTTGGCATGGTTTATTGTCAAATCTGAATCTGAATCTGAATATTCTACCCATTAATATGTTTATATAAGTGTATAATCACTATAAAATAAAATTCGTTTGGTTTTCATAGCCTTATAATTATGCTTTTATATATATATATACATATATATATATATATATATGTATATATATATCACAGCATATATGTATATAGCAAGGGCCTTGTTTAGAGAGGTCGCCATCTTGCGCCGCCATGTATGTACAGCAGCCTGAGCGGACAATCCAGCCAGCCAGAGAACGAGTTTCACATGTATAAATAAACCAACGAAGAAGACAGTGGAAGGAAGGAAGAAGGAGGAGGAAATAGCAGAGTGTTAGTAGTTCGTCGATAGAGAGTAGTGAAAAGATTTTTCTAGTTATAAAGTTTGCGAATAGACCACACTTACCACGCAACAGGAGAGAATGAACCCGAACCGTCATCTGCGAGGAAAAGAAGACGCAAAGAAGGGGCAAAGAAAATGGGACAAGCGGCGGCAGAGAATAAACATCGGTGATGTTTTTCAGCGATGGGGGGGGTTCATGAAGGACAAAGGGCTTTAATCCGACGCTGAAGTGGCATGTTTTGTGCTGGACAGGTAAACTACTAAAATAAATGCTACTATTTGTCAGCACGTAGTATAATAGCGTTACGTGTTGGACTCGACAAATAGAGAGTGAGGAGGAGAGTTCATAACGTTACATCATCTCCAGGTAGAGCAATTACTGTAAAACACTTGCGAAAATTTTAGTCTTATGTCAAAGGCATAACAGGCATAACATCCTCCCCTCCTCCTCTTCCTGCACCTCTTCCTCTCCCTCATCTTCCTCTTCTCCCTCTCCCTCTCCCTCGTCTTTCTCTTCTCCCTCTCCCTCTCCCTCCTCACCCTCCTCTCCCTGTCTCCTGTGGAAAATCACTCTGCAAACGCATATTATAATATGTAACGTTAACGGTTATCCTACCAACCTAACGATTATTTGCCACATTGTGCCATGACTTTATTTAGCATTACTGCGCTAATGTTTGCTTGTGTTACCAAAACAATTAGGAATAAAACACTCCTAACCTCTCACTGATGACCTATAACATATCGTAATATGGTTTAGATCTTCACCTCATTGCTCGTTGCTTCGGATATGTTACCGGCAGAGATGCTGCTCTCTGTCGCGGACGACGCCATTTTTCCAAAGTGTTTTGGTCCTCGGAGGACACCGTAACTTTGCAGACAGGAGGGGTGAGCACAGGCAAGCGAGCGAGCGCTGCAATCTAGAATCTAAACACTACATGTCACTGTTTTCAACCCATTTTACACACTGGCCCTTTAATCCAGGCCTGTACATAATCAAATAAACATTCAAACTCGGGACCATTCAAGCCCCATTAACCATTACGATAATTACTGATCATGATCTTTTCATTTAGATATTTGAATTATTTGAATTATTCCCACAGTTTGCCACATATTAATATCACATCAATTGTTAATCTTACAACAAAAGAAGGTTAAAGGTTTAAGCTTACAATAGACACACACCACGGTTCACGGATTTCATGTGTGTGATTCACATGATCCTGCCTGTCTCTTTCATGTTGAGCCTCAGACTGGATTTATTCTAGATTATAGCTGTTTCTTTGTCCCTTTGATTTAAGTGGGAACAGTGTTATACCATCACCATGTACCTGTCAGATGCTCTGGCCTCATGTGAAGTGTATCCAAAATGCAACTCTGTTGCCTAAGTTAAGTAATGAGTCAAGACATCCTACTGCTGTGATCCCCCACACAGAGCAGCTGAGCTGACCCACTGTCTCTGAGGTTTGTAATGTCTTGAATTGTCTGCTCAGTGTCACAGTGTGTGTGTTAGTGAGCTGTGGCAGCATGGTGGTTTAAAATGAGGAAAGATCAGTGCAAGATGTGCTGAGATCACCAAAATATTATAAAACAACTTGGGCCCCGTTTCCCAGAGCCTTCGTAGCGCTACGTGCATCGTAAGTTGTATCTTAAGGTCTTCCTTAAGTTTACGGGCTGTTTCCCAGAGTCTCCTTAGTGAAGATATATCTTCTGAAAGATATATCTTAAGAAGCGCGGTCTGAACCACTCGTAAGCTGTTCCTTAGTGATG